GTCCCTCAACCTAGTACTGTAATTTTTGCTTTTTTTTTTTCCTTTGGCAGTACTGGGGATTGAACTCAGGGCCTTGTGCTTGCCAGGCAAGCGCTTATTCTACTGAGCTATCTCCCCAGCCCCTCTTCATTTTTCATTACACTAGAAATACTTTCAACACAAATTTTACTAAAGATAGCTTTAGATGGCTTTAGTAATTATGTTTTCTTACTACCACCAAAGTAATGATAAGGTATATTGTTAAATATTGACAGACTTTATTTCAGATTTTATTAAACATAATACTGTGTATTTTCCATAAACTTTTTTCTATTTTTGTGTGATGCTGAGAATTAAATCTAGAACTTCATGCTTGCTAGGTAAGTGCTGTACCACTGAACTAAACCAAGGGAAGTATATAGTTACTCAAAGGAAGCCAGCTTTTCCTAACACTAAATTCTAAAAGCAATTTCTAATGTGAATCACTGTCACAACTAACACTTTAAACAGCAAGTTAATAACATTTATATAACTACATTGGGTTGTATAAGGCAATTCATTTTTATATAGAAATGAGTGTGATAAATAATTGTATGTTTTATTTTTACAGGAATCTCAGGAAACCAAAATGAGGCACAATCAGATGTATTGTGAGACACCACCTACTGTCACTGTTCATGTAAAATCAGGGTCAAATAGGTCACATCAGCCTAAAATTAATCTCAAGCGTACTATTTTTAAAGATAGTTGGCAAGCATCTGATAAAAATGCACATAACAACAACAAATCTAAACGTCCCAAAGGGCCTTGTCTAGTTATACAGCGTCAGGAAATGACTGCTTTCTTCAAATTATTTGGTAGGTTTAAAATATTTTAATAGCATAATTATAAAGTTCTTAAGAATTAGACTATAAATTTCTTTTTTTTTCCACTTTCATAGTGATCAAAAAGGATATTGTTAATAGCATAAAGTACTTAAAATTAGAATGTAAACTATTTTATCAATTTCATAATGATCAAAACAGATAGTGTTATTTTCTTGATCAAATTTTTCATCTCCAATCGAATTTGATTTTGTTTTTAATTTTTAATGTTGGGTTTTGTTTAGGTTTGCTTGCTTGTGAATTAAAAATTCGCTCTTGGGGCCAGGGAGATGGCTCAGTGGAATAAGTGCTTCCCTGGCAAGCACAAGGGTCTGAGTTCAATCCCCAGTTCTGCCAAAAAAAAAAAAAAAGTGTAAGAAGTATAAGTAGAAAAAGATAAAAGATGTTCTCCCATCAGGATATAGGATACATGTTTCTTTATTGAGTAGAACAAAATATAAACCACCGATGTTTTAAAACCCATAAGTTTTTTGATACCCATTTTTGTCACACATTAAAAAACAAAACAAAACTGGTTTTAAGAAATAGAATTACCAGGACAGAAATTATTCCTCAGGAAATCAATAGTTATTCTTAGAACTTTCTAGATACTTTATTGCATGATATTTCTAGCATGTAAAACAATGTATCCTTTCTTAAACTGAAGGAGAAAGTGGAAAAAGTGATTTGCCTAGATTATGTTCTGGTAGCTGCCGGTATATTTTGAGATTATATATTTGAGGCCTTCAGAGTTGAAATGGTGTTTTTGACCTACATTTTGGATGCTATCCTTAACATTTTTTGCTTATTGGTCTTTTCATCAGAACACTCAGTTTTTCAAAAATTAAATGTTAATAGTAATGAATTTCAAACCCTTTATATAACATTTTCATATATATTTGAGTAGATAAGTGGAACAGAAATAAATAGAAAAGGACTCAAAAGTAAAAATACACTGGAACCTAAAAAGAGAAAGTAATAGAAAAAAGGCATATAAAAACAATATTTAGAAAAGTATTCATTAAGTTATTTCTTAAAAGTTGAATTATCTTTTATCAGATTCCAATTCTGCTCTCTATAATTGATTTTAGAAAAAGAATGAAGAGCTAGTATGCAGTAAACCAGACACATACTACTCTCCCTCAAAGCTGAACCGTATTCCTAGTGAGGGAAATCAGAGGGGAAGGTGGAGGGAAGATGGCAGTAGCTTTTTTACAGTCTTTACAGTGGTAAATACACTAAAGAACTAAAAATTACACCTTTCACAATCTTGGTCTTGTCATTGGTGTTTGATTTACAAACATTTATAATCTGAAATAGAAATTAGTTTTTCAAAAGACAGTATTTTTAAAAGGCAAGTCATAGCTATCTTTTGTTGTAGATGATGATCTAATTCAAGATTTCTTATGGATGGATTGCTGCTGTAAAATTGCAGACAAGGTAAATTTAGTATCAAGATAATCATTAACCAGTATTATGTTACTAGACCTTTAAGTTCATATTTTTTATTGAAAACAAAATTTTATATTTGATATATTTTGATCAGAATGACCATTCTTCTTTTTTCTTCAGAATTACTGGCTTTAATTAAATTGTGGTGAAACTATCCTGAAATTCACTCCACTAAGGAATTCTCTTGTACATTTTAATATTTTGTGAGTTAATCAGATAAAACAAATGCCAATAACATGTTATTATTTAGGAATCAGAAAAAGGATGTCTTAACTAGGAGCACTGATGTTTCTATGGGATTTTTTTGTTGGCATGCATTACAATATTTGTTTCTTTGCTTTTCTGTTTTGATTTTTGGTTTTTGATTAGTTTGTTTGAGAGAGCATCTGACTATAGTTTAGACTGATCTTGAATTTACTAGGTCATCCAGGTTGGCATCAAACTCTTGGTGATCCTCCTGCATTAACCTTCTAAGTGTTAAAATTACAGGCGTGCACCACCATACCAGCACTGTGCTTTTTGAGTTAGCTGAATAGCTGAAATTCTGCCAAATGGCATGGTGGTGCATGCCTGTAATCCCAGCACAAAGGAGGCTGATGCAGGAGGATCACAGAGAATTCAGGCTGGCCTGCCTAGGGTACCAAGTGAGTTCAAGGTGAGATGAACTGCATAGTGAGATGCTGCTCAAAATGACTAGGAAAAAAAAAAAAAGGCAAAATTCAACTTTTAAAATGCAGTTTTAGACTAAGCAGTGATATAGAAAGTTCAGAAGTTTACGTCTCATTTAAAATATACAAACTAATAGAAAAGGGAATGGATCAGAAGGCTATCTTATGATTAAATACCCACTAAATTGGTATTAAACTTTTTTTTACACTTAAAATGACAAAACTAAGGCATTAAAAAAAACTAAGGCATTTTAGCTGTACATAGTGGCACACAACTATAATCTTAGCACTCAGGAGGCTGAAGCAGCAGGATCACTGCGAGCATGAGGCCGGCTTGGGCTGCATAGTGAGTTCGGGTCCAGCCTGACCTGCATAGAAATACCTGTCTCAAAAAACAAACAAAACAAGCAATGGTCATTCATTATTTTATACCTTCTCTCAAAACTGGATTATTTTGAAGCAAATTCCAGACATCTCTAAAATATAAAGACTATTTTAAAATACAATCACAATGTCACTAATACTTTTTAAAATTAACAGGGGGCCGGGGAGATAGCTCAGTAGAATAAAGTGCTTCCCTGGCAAGTGCTAGGGCCTGAGTTCAATCCCCAGTTCCGCCAAAAAAAAAATTAAAAGATAAAATTAACAGTAAGGCTTTAATGTCAAATATCCTGTTTCGGGGATGGAGAGATGGCTCAGTGGTCTAAAGCACCTACTTGGAACAAGCTTGGCAAAGCACAGGGACCGCGGTTCGATCCTCCAGCACCACATGCCAGCCAGCCACGCCCCCTGGTGGGCTGAGCTGGCCACACACACACACACACACACACACACACACACACACAATAAACGTTAAAAAAAAAAATTCAAATATCCTGTTTCTGTGGAGTTTAACTTTTCAATGCTAGTTTTAAGAGCATTACAGTTATTGGACAGCAGGGGGCAGTGTTTGAAAAGTAACCGAGAACACTGTATTTTTAACATTGTTTCAAGTATCCCTTACTGGATGCTGTGAAAATTTGGAATTACATTTGTGTTCCATCTTGTGACTACAGGATGAGTAAATATTCTATGAGAAAGAAAATAGAAAAAGAAAGAAAATAGTGCTACAATTTATTTCTAATTTGAACAGTCAGACCTTGATGTGTTTTAATAATGGGCTAGCTGTAAATCTTTCTAATAATATATCTAAAATTTGCTTTCCCCATGCAAATAAAAGCATGTTATTCTAATTTCTAAAGTTATTAGAAGCAGTTTATAAAGGTTATATTTTTGAGTATATAAAGAAGAAAGGAAAACACAAAGGGAGTAGAGCTGGGCTCACATGCCTGTAATCACAGCTACTCAGGAGGCTAAAGTGGAAGAACAGTAAGTTTGAGGTCAGCCAGCCCATGGGCAACTTAACAAGATAATCTTTCAAAAATTGGGGCCGGAGAGATGGCTCAGTAGAATAAGCGCTTCCCTGGCAAGCACAAGGCCTGAGTTCAATCCCCTGTTCTGGGAAAAAAAAAAAAAAAAAAAAAATGAGAACTAGGTGTATATAGCTCAGTGGACAGTGTTTTTCCTAGCAAGGACCAGGCCCTAGGTTCAGTCCCTAGTGCCAAACTGCAATGCATAGTCCATTTACTTATCAAAAAGTGCCAACACTGGAAAAAAAAATCTGAGATTTTAGTTTAGCAAAAACTCACACATTAACACTTTCTCTTAAAAACAATAACACGTATTCCTTTTGGTTCACCACCACTGGTACAGGAGCTGGGGTACAGCATGTGGTTAGTATGCATGAGGTCCTGGGTATAATCTCCAGCACATAAAAAAGTGAGTATGGCTGGGCGTGGGGGCATATGCCTGTAGTCTGAGCACCTGGGAGGCTGAGGTGGGAGGATCACATGAGCCCAGGAATTCCAGACCAATCTCTGTCAAAATAGCAGCACCCTGCTAAAAAAGAAAAAGGGAATATGGATGTCTGTAACTAAAAGAGTTTAGAGGAAAGTTTATGTGTATGTGTACACATTCAAAGATACCAAGCAAATGCTGCAAATATGAATATAGATGAAGGATGTATAATTATTCATTTTACTGTTGTTTCAACTTTCTATAGGTTTGACATTTAAGTTTTACAAATGAAGTTTTAAACTTTATTGGCTATAATAAAATGTAGGAGTCCATCTAATTTTAATCAGAATGATCAATATCTTTCTAACACTAATTGCAGGAAACAAAAAATAAGTGATTCTGCAATAAGGATAAATAATCTTTTATTCTAGTTTATTCATTAGAAAACTTTAAAATAATTTTCTTAAATGTAGTTTTATTTATGAAAGCAAAACAATATTAATTTCTAACTTTTTTCTTATAGTATCTTTTGGCTATGACCTTTGTTTATTTCAAGAGAGCTAAATTTACTATAAGTGAGCATACCAGGATAAATTTCTTTGTTGCTTTGTAAGTATGTTTTTTCTGTGCTGTTTATAATATGTATAATCTTACTTAAAGCAGAAGTTATGTAAACCTTATAGATATCTTTGTATAGCCCTTTCTGTATAAAAGCTCTGCATTAATAGGAAAATGTATGTTCATTTCACTCAATTTATGATATTATATGCCTAAGATTTATTTTTCAATATTCTACTTGAGTTTGTGTTGCACCTTTTATTTTTCGGGGTACTCCCATAAATTATTCCAGATTTTCCTCTTTACTTTTTCAAAGCCAGAATATTCTTTTTTTTTTTTTTTGTATTTAATGTTGGCTCTACAGGGTCTCACTACACAGATTGGACTTGTAGGGATTCTCCTGTTTTCAGCTTCCCAAGCACTGGGATTACAGGCACATGCCACCATGCCCAGTCTTAGTGCACTCCGGGGGCAGGGCTGGCATGGCACACCAGGGATCAAACCTCTGACCCCAGTGTCTGCCAAAGCAGGTGCTTTAACTGCTGAGCTATCTGGCAAGCCCTCAAAGCCAGAATATTCTGTTTAAATTAATATTATTATTATCTTAATCCAAAATGTGTTTATAGTGATGGCTTCCCACTCATCTTGATTGAGGGTACTGTTAGTGCTGCTTCCTCCTAAACAGTACTTCTGTGAGCCTTGCTTTTCCTCCTATAGACTGGCAGAGGACAGTGGAGCAGCAACACACAGAACTACCATCTGTGCATGGCTAAAGACCGTGGTGATTTTATAGTATCCTGGGAACTTCATGCCCATGAAGTAGCAATTGGGGCTCTGCACCAGGCACTTCTTGTGCTTTCTCTTCTCTTCCTCTGGAGAGGGATGAAGGAGATCTTTTGCAAGAGGCATGTTCTTGTGGGGAGGTTATCACCACCTGAAAGCCTGTTTAAATTAAAAGTGAATAGATAATACAAATCACCATCATCACTGCCCTTTTACATTGAATAGCTTTGGATTAGGGGGTGGCTATAAGAAGTGTCTCATTATTTAGTCAAGATGGCTTTTAGTTGGTGTGTAGAATAATCAGGCTGGCATCAAATTCATTATCCTCCTGCCTCAGCCTCCCAAGTGCTAAATCTCTAGGCAGGTACCAATATGCTTAGCTTGTAAATGTTCTAGACATAGTCTTTGTGGGTCTGTGTTCATAGGATAAGTTATCTAGGGTCAGGGATATAACTCCTTGTTGCAGCGCCCACCTGGCAAGAGTGAGGTCCTGAGTTTGAGTCCCAGAAACAAAAAAGTTATTTATATTTAATACTTCTAGTATCTACTGATAGTCTTACTAAGTATATGGAATTATGACACAGGAATATTTTTTCCACTGACTTCACACTATTTCCTCTTAGTGTAATAATCTATTAAATGGTTTTAATGATATGGTTTTCCAATCTATAGGTTAGAATTCAAATAGCAGAAATATAATTTAAAAATATATATTGGAGGTTGGTGGTGCAGCTTAGTGGTGGAGTGCTTATCTAGTATATGTGGGACTCTGGGTTTAATCCCAGCACCAAAAAAATAAAAAATAAAAATAATGTAGTTTTTTTTTTTTTTACCCCATGCCTAGATATAATGTTGCAGTTGGGAATGTAGTGTGAATAAAACTTTATTTTATTTTTATTATTTATGATACCAGGAATTGAACTCAGGACCTGGTGCTTGTCAAGCAAACACTTATTCTACTGAGCTATCGTCCCGGCCCCAATAAACTTTTAAAGAAATAGAATTAGAAAGGCCAGCCAGAAAGCTCAGGGATTAAAGCACCTTCTTAGGCAGACTCAAGGACCAGTTTCAACTGCTGGTGTGCCCCTGGGGCACGCAGAGATGGTGAAAGAGACTAGGCGTGGTGGTATGCACCTGTAATCTCAGCGTTTGGGAGACTGAAAACAGGAGAATTTCTAGGAGTCTTATCTACATAGTGAGTCCCTGTACACCCTGTACTAAATACATAAAAAGAAATAGAATTAGAAAAAACTGATTTCTGTATTTATTAGAGGTATATTTTTTAGTACATAGGGAAAAATGAACTCATTTTAAGATTTCGTGATAATTGCTAATTTGGAAGAATATAATAGTATTTGCTTATACTGAGTATTAAATGGTAGGGGGCATAAAAGTTTTATATATTAATACATCTAGTCTTACCCATGAAATAAGTTTTTATTATCCCATTTTACAGATGAGAAGACGAAGACTTTCCAAAGTCACAAAAGTTAGTAAAGAGCAGAGCTAAGAGGCAGATTCAACTATTGACCCTAAGTTAAACTATTGTTTACATGTATCAGTGTTACATCTGTATGTTGATGTAACACCTATTGTGTGGAGTTTTTTCCTCCATATGGAACAGACTAAAAAGAAGCTTCATATTTTTTTTTTAAGACAGGGTCTCACTAAGTAGCCCAGCTAGCTTTGAAGTTACTGTGTAGCCTAGATTAACTTCAAACTTGTGGCAATTTTTTTGCCTTAGACTCCTGAGTGCTGGAATTACAGGTGTGTGCCCCCATGTCTCACAGGAATCTTTAGTTTAAAGCTCTAGTTTAAATCTTACAAGGAGCCTGAAATTGATTTATTTCACTGGGTTTGTTTTTCAAATTTATTACCTCTGAAACATTATTCATCTTATACTATGTGGTAGTCTGTAAGTTTGTATTGCATGTTGTATTTTAAGATACTTAAAATAACATGAATTATCATTTCTATTTTTTTTCTGTATTTAGGACAAGGTCTACAGGGTCTCACTATTGTAGATTGGACTTGTAGTGATTCTCCTGTTTTCAGCATCCCAAGTGCTGGGATTACAGGTGGACGCCACCATGCCCAGTCTCCATCACCCTGAGGGCAGGGCCAGCATGACATGCCAGGGATCGAAAGCCAGCCGCTGTGCCCTGCCTAAGCAGGCACTTTAGTCTGCTAAGCTATCAGGCCAGCCCTTTCCATTCTATTTTTGATCATACTTTCTGTATGACCCACTTCAGTAGCTCTTCTCATTAATTTCTGTTATTTACAGTTCTTTTTTTTGTTTTGTTTTGTTTTAAGATAAGGTCTCACTATGAAGTTCAGGCTGGTCTTGAACTCACTATATGATTTAGATTGGCCACAAACTCACAGTGATCCTTCTGCCCCAGCCTTTCAAATGCTAGGATTACAGAAATGCTCCATCACACCTAGCTGTATATCATCTTGTAATATTTCCTTTCTATATATTCTTATAACACTCTAAACTTACGTTATTGTTCTTCTATATTCTCTTCTACATTAATTTCGTACTCATTTGCCGTCTCTGTTTAACTATAGGCTCCTTAAGAACAAAGCACACAGGCTGGGGAGGTAGCTTAGTGGCATAGCATCTGCCTGGCAAGTGCAAGGTCCTGAGTTTGATTCCTGTACCAAAAAAAAAAAAGAACAAAGAGTATACATCTTTCTTTTCTTTCATTCTTCAATGACTTACATAGGAAGTTTTGTTTTTGTTTTTGTTTTGTTTTTCTTTTTTTGCTTCGTTTGCCTTCAGGGCAGGTTTGGCTGGCTTGAGTTGTGGGGATCGAACCACAGCAACCTGAGCGTGACTGCTTTGTTGAAGCAGCCACTTGAAGAACTGAGCTAAGGGGCAGGCCCCCAGGAAGTTAATAATTCTTTATTTGAATAAATGTAATTATTGGTCAAAAGAAATATGCTCTGCCCAATGAAAATCTGTTTCAAATGAGAAAATAACATATATATAAGAAATACATATATATATAACAAAAGAAAGTATATATATGTGTGTGTGTGTATGACATGACAAAGACATTTTGTCACATTGAGCCTAAAAAACTGTTAATCTAGAGTAGAAGCATGAAGCCAGGTGTGTTGGTACATGCCTATAATCTCAGCATTCAGGAGCTGAAGCAGGAGGATTACAGTGAGTTTGAGGCAATCCTGAATTATATAGCCAGCCCCTTCCTCAAAAAAACAAGTAAACAAACAAACAAACAAGAGAAGAATCATGATGTGATATAGCGCCACAGTATATTATAAACTTTCCACTTGGCTTAGTCAGAAAGGATGTGTGGAGCCAAACTCTAGCTTCATATACCCTTTGCTAAGGGCTAACAGAAACCAAAGTAAGAAATTACTGTATGTAATTTCACAGGGAACATGAGTTGACTCATATAATGAGGTTAACATCATACTTTATAATAAGATACTCAAATATGTAGAGAGAATGATATGTGTAGGTTTTTATTTTATGTTACTGTAACTTTATGAATATTCACATTATTAAAAAATACAAAGAAAGTGTATAATTAAAAGCAATGCCTTGGCTATCTATCTCATGCCTTGGCTCCCTTTCTCAAGAACAAATAAGTTTCATGAGAATTTGTCTAGAAACAATTTTCTGTATATGAGCTTGTGTTATGTATTACATTAAAAAGAAGTATGACATCCTTCTGTGATTTTAATTTTTTGATGTAAACTACAAAGTATTTGAACTATGGTTGTGTGTGTGAAAGAGTAAAAGTAAAATTATAGTAATAGTAACTATGACAGCCTAAAAATAGAATGTTCAAGCCTGGAAATGTTGCTCTGTGGTGGAGCTCTTGCCTAGCAAGCCCCAGACCTTGGGTTCCACCCACTACCACACACAAAAAAGGGGATTTTACTTGTAGTTTTTTCCACCAGAATCTCCTTTCCATAATATACACTTTTTTACTTTCCTTTATTCTCTGTATCTGTCTCAAAATAATGCATAATTTTTCTTGATTTTAGTTCAGTGTAAAATAGTGCTAGTCTTTGGTGACTTCTTTCTTTTGTTTTAAAATGTTACGGTTTTCAGATTCCTTTATATTACTATGTGTTTCTGAAAACCATTTTTACAGCTGAATAATATTTCAGTGTTGCTTATATATTTGGAATTTTCCCTACCATCTTAAATGCTTTCTTTTTGTCCCATTTTTTCACTGTGTAGTTTGTTTTACATCTTTTTTCCTCTTCTTGTTTGCAGATTATGCAGT